CAGTCAGGGCCTAGGTTGTAGGCTCAATTCCCAGGGGGGAAGGTGGGGGAAAAGGGCGCACAGGAGGCAGCTGATCAATGATTTCCTCATCATTTATGTTTCTATCTCTCTCTCCCTCTCCCTTTCTCTCTGAAATAATTAAAAATATATTTTAAAAAAGAAATTAAAAAATAGAATTACCATATGATCCAGCAATGCCACTTTGTAGTATTCAACTGAAAAATAATGAAAACACTAATTCAAAAAGATATATGCACACCCATGCTCACTAAAGCATTATTTACAATAGCCAACATATGGGAACAACCAAAGTGTTTCTCAATAAATGAATGGATAAAGATGTGGTACATATATACAATGGAATATTACTCAACCATAAAAAAGAATGAAATATTGCCATTTGTGACAACATGGATGGACCTTGAGGGAATTATGCTAAATGAAATAAGTCAGACAGAGAAAGACAAATACCACATGATATCAATTATATGTGGAGTTTAAAACAGACACAACCAAGCTCATAGATACAGAGGACAGACTGGTGGTTGCCAGAAGCAGGGAGTAGGGGGTAGCCGAATTGGTGAAGGAGGTCAAAAAGTATAAACTTCCAATAATAAATAAGTCATAGGAATGTAATTATAGCATGGTGACTACAGTTAACAATATTGTATTGAATATTAAAAAATTGACTGGGGAGTTAAATAAATAAAAGTTAAATAAATGGAAACTACCTAAAAGTTCCTACCAAAATCAAGCAATAGCCAATGACAATCTCCTCCCCAAAGGGTAACTCTGGATTAGGATTTATATAGCATGTAAATATGAGGCCTTTGTCGTAAGACAATATAAGCTCCACTCAGGAAACAGGAAGGGCAGAATTGAGAGAAATGACTCCAGAATGGAGACTGCCATCCAAGCTCAGAAAATCTGTGGGAGAGGCTGAAGGCAGGGGCAGGTCTGGTCAGAGCTTAAGGACTGTTGGCTGACAGATTATGACCCCAAAACACCCTTTACAGCAACCTGAGGGGCAGGAAAGGGGAATCCCATCTTGGATCCATGAGAGGGGATGGAAGCAGATTGGACAAACAAGATGATGGACTGTAGGGAGAAGTCAACGAATTTTTGATCACACACCTTTTATCTGCCAGGGTTTTGACGCCCCTCCCCTCCTATGCTCCAATATATTATTTTAAGTTATCTCCATGTACTTCATATTGAGTGTGTTATAAAACCTTTACAGGGTATAGAATTTAAAAAGATATCTATTGGAACAGAATTTGTAACATTTTATTCTTTACCTTAATCAGTCTTTGTGTGCACCTCGCTTTGGAAAGAACAAAAGAACTGTTGGAAGGGAGGGGAGTATGGAGTTGTTATTCCCTGCATAGAATCTCAAAAGGCAAAAACATCCGAACAAGTTTTCCTTAGCTATTCTTCAAAAGAGAACCCTGTAACACTTCAGTAAACAGGCAGCAATATTGCTCACCACTCTCTTTCTAGCTTCCAGTCCTCTACCTGGCTTTTGGATTGCACTTTTCCTCAAAAGTTGCCATAGTTACACCTGATGCCACTGCCAGGAGGTTTTCTACAGTTAGGAAACTCAGACCCTAAAATCTGGTAGTAATCATATCGGATCTGAAACAGTTTGGATGATAACATTATTCAGGTGGTGGCTGTTTTCAATTTGGGGAAAAGGAATGCACTTTGTTTAGACTATCTTTTGAGAAAAGGGACTGAACCTTATAGAGCTCTCTTTGTATAGAGTTGTGGGTGCAATAGAGCACTAAGTTTTGTTTGTTTGTTTGGTTTTGGCTATAAATGAGACTAGAAAAAATTATTTCCTCCTGAGACAGGTGTATTAACTGTAAATGTTATATAGCATATTTTTAATGCAGGTTTTACATATAGCTCATTGTTCCTATTAGAGAACATCAAATTTGCTGTGGAATTTTTATATATACCTCATGTTATTACTTTAGAGAGAAACACAAATAACCTTATCGTTGGTCTATAAGAACATCACCAAAGCAAACTATATGGGCAAAAGTATTTGTCCTGTTTGCTCTAGTTCCTATACATGACTGTATTTTGCAGGCAGGGCCCCTCAGCTCCCAAATGTACAGGACCTCCTTAGAACTGCCCAAACCACATTTAGGGTCTTGGTTTAACAAGCCTTCAACTGGGAGAAACTAGCTGGTTTCTGCCTTTAAATGCTGGCACTAGCTTTTCAATGGCACCTGGCTATTCTTCTCTGCCAAGAACTTGGTAGTCAGCCCTAGTTAGCTCAGAGATGCTTTATCTCCCAGCGCACCTTTAGGGAATGGCAGCAAGCCTGCTGCTTCTATCTGTTTAGCCAAGCCCAGGGGAGGTGAGCATGGTTCTCACTGACAAGAGGCAGTTAGTTTACTGGAGTTACAACAAACTACAAAACCCAGCCTGAGGGTTTGGAGAACACATTTTTAAATATCGAAAAACTTAAGAAAAATTAATTCTATAGATTGGTAGCAATTAAGGAAGTCATATTGCTGGAGCTTTTAAAAATAAAGTTAGACCTTAGCCGGTTTGGCTCAGTGGATATAGCGTTGGCTCACAGACTGAAAGGTCCTGAGTTTGCTTCCTTGGTTGCAGACTAGGTCCTGAGGAGAATGTGAGAGGCAACTAATTGATGTTTCTCTGTCTCTCCCCATCCCTTCCACTCTCTCCAAAAATCAATGAAAAATCCTCAGGTGAGGATTAAAAATAAATAAATAAATAAATAATAAAGCTAGATCAGTTTTTCTGTTTCCTCAGTTCATTTTTACTTGGATTTGTCAAGGTATAGCAAGGACACCTGTCTGGGTTGACACCAGACAGCTTTCATGAACCCTACTTCATGGCATTGGCTGAGTTGTGCCTCATGTGAGGTAGGAGATGGTTGAGAAAAGAGAAAAGCAGAAATCTAGTGTCTTTCTGAAAAACTTATAAGAAGGTTACAACAGATTTTTTGACTTTGTAATATACTGAGTGTTTTAAAGAACACCATATTATAGCAGTCTCAGCACTCTTAGTTATAAAGATAAATGTTATTTTGTCTAACTAGAGTTTTACACATTAATTTACTGTTAATTCCATTATTTTACTTGAAGTGAACTTTCTATTATATTTTACCCAATTATGTAAGTGAGCTGATTATGCAACTAACAGATTGGCAAATATGAGAACTATTACAGGATCAACATTTTTTTACAGGTAACTACTCAGGTTGTTGGTGGAGTAACAAAGAGAATATGAAAAAAATTTTTTCTGGTCTGCTCTATTCAGATTTATCGTTCCTAGGCCTGATTTATAAATGCCTGAATCTTAATCCCTTTTACTAATTAGCCTGGTCTTTAGTCCAGATGTGAAATGAAATTAGGTTTTGCTTTAAAACAACAAAGCTATAGAAGTGGAAAAATAGAAAATACTAAAAAAAAAAAAAATACTAGCTAAGTAACTGCAGCAATATATCATTAATTTAAAATCCATCAATCAGGAATTTATGATAGCTCATAAAAGCATAAGATGCAATGTACCTTTGGTCTAATTGTGTAAGAGTTTGCTAAGTGGAAATCATTTTTTCAGAGAGAAGGCTGAAACTTCTAACGAGACTGCTTCTATTACTTTTAGTAATTTTAGATATTTACAATACTGAATGATTTCTTAATTATAAATGATTCTTTCCCACAACTTAAGTCCTCCTGCAGCCATACTAAGTAAATCTTCCTTAACCTACTTATAAGATTTTCCGTCATGGTGAAGATAGCCTTTCATTTATAAAATGAAAGCCTTTTCCTAAATCCAATTGCCCTTCCAGTTTTCTTTGAGCAAAGCAGCTTGTTGAATGTTCTGGTTTAAGTACATGAGATCTAGAGACAGCTTGCCTAGGTTCAAATCCCACTTCTACCAATTGGACATGTTATATATGGTTGTGGTGCCTCCATATCCTTATCTGTAAAAAATGGGGAAAAATAATATATAAAAGATTTAAAAGCTGTGAAGTACTCAGAACAGTGTCTGATCCCTTATAGTTAGCCCTTGTTGCTATGACACTATATTACAGGTAGACTCAGTCATACCCCAGGACGTCACTAAGATAAACTGTAGTGAAATGGTGAACATTTTAGAGCAGGCAGGTTTTTTAGCCCCCCTTTTACAAGGCCAAAGGCATCATTTCACATGCAGTGCATCACAACCATTTTTCGCTTCTTCAGTTTTCCTTTATTTTGGCCTCCAGCCACCCAAGCCCGCCAGGTTCTTCTGGTCAATTATGCATAAGCTTTTTCTAAGCTACCGCCTCCCAGTCTCTACAAATTGTCTCCGTCTCTTTTCAGTTCATGCTAGAATTCATCTGTCCTTGAAGTCCTCCCTCAACTAGCCTTCCACTATGATAAGCCTTAGACTCTGGCACAGCTCTGCCAGTGAAGCCCTTGTTAATAAATTCCGCAGATCATTAGTCTTTCTGATTAGCCTGGTCTTGAGTTCTCGGACTTTGGGCTCCAAACAAGATTCCCAGTTAAAGACACAAGAACACGAGGATGGGTGAGCTGCGGGCCCCGAGGATTGGTGAGAAAGATGAGAGACCAGCTACGGGTTTGAATAAGACAAGGACTAGGGAGAAGGAAGGTTAATGACGCACCCGAATAAGTCCGCTATACGAAAGGAGATAAACTAAGAATCCGTGAGGTGCAGACAGCGAGAGCCGTGCGCGCTCCCGCGCGCACACACAAGGTAAAAGAGGGGTAGTCCCAGGTTTTTGACAGTGACATGGCCCTGGTCCGGACACGGTCTCCAAGCTCTCCCCGATTTCCAGAGCGTCCCTGTCCCTGCTACCTCGGGACTGTTAGCGCATCTCCCCGAACCGCCATGCTGCGGCGCGACTGGTGCTATCCCTTCCCCCACTCCACCCCGCCCCCGCCCCCGCCCCCGCCCCCGCGGCCGCAGCTCTCCGCCCCCAGCGAACGCGGCTCCCCAGTGTCCTCTCGATCGCTGGCGTGGCTGTCGGGTTTGGAACCCCAGCGCCGACCCTCGCCCTCGACATCCGAAGCTGAGTCGCTGGCGCAGCCTTTGCCCCGCATCAATCATTAACGGGCCAGCTCGCCTGCTGCAGCCCAAGGAGGGGGGATGGTACGGAACTTGAGACAGGGGACAACTCTATCCCCGGAGGCAGCCGCGAAACACTAGCCTGGGAGGCCCCCGCCCTCCCTCGGTGCGCCGGTCCCTCCTTCCCTCCCTCCAGCGTCTCAGCTCCCACATCCCCGCCTCCCGCGCTGGGGACGGCGGCGGCTGCGCCCGCACCACGCGATGCCCAGTCACCCGGGCAGCGCCGCCGCCGCCGCCGCCACCGCCGCAGTCCGCCGCGCCGCTGCTGGGCAGCGTAGGCGGCCGGGAGCCGATAGCAGGGAGCCTGGTAAAGGGGACATCAAGCCCTTGCGCTCCTGCCAGTCGCTGACTGCTTACAAACTGATTATTTTTATTTACTTGCTTATTTTTAGGAACGTCTGCTTAGAGGCTTAGGTCTTCTCTTGAACCTGCAGCGACGCCCCGGGGCGAGCACAAAGACTCCGACGGCAGCCGGCGGGACTGCGGAGTGCGCGGACGCAGGCGCCAGAGGTCGCCTGTTTGCAAGAGCCCGCGCCAGAGGTCGCCTGCTGGCGTCCTAGCCAAGCCCGGGGCACCATGCTGCGACGCCTGCAGCCCCGGAGCGCGGGCACAAAAGGCCCACGGGCCACGACCGAGGCGGCTTTGGAGGCCGCCTCGCGCCCCCATCCCTCAGCCTCCAGGGACTCTCCGGCCTCCGCCAAGCCGCTGCTGCGCTGGGACGAGGTGCCCGACGACTTCGTGGAGTGCTTCATACTATCAGGCTACCGGCGGCTGCCCTGCACGGTGCAGGAGTGCCTAGCCTCGGTGCTGAAGCCCACCAACGAGACTCTCAACTTCTGGACGCACTTCATCCCCCTTCTGCTGTTCCTAAGCAAGTTCTGCCGCCTGTTCTTTCTGAGCGGCCGGGATGTGCCCTTCCACCACCCCTGGCTGCTGCCGCTGTGGTGCTACGCGTCGGGCGTGCTGCTGACCTTTGCCATGAGCTGCACAGCGCACGTGTTCAGCTGCCTGTCGCTGCGCCTGCGAGCCGCCTTCTTCTACCTGGACTATGCTTCCATCAGCTACTACGGCTTCGGTAGCACGGTGGCCTACTACTACTACCTTCTGCCGGGCCTCAGCTTGTTGGACGCCAGAGTGATGACCCCTTATGTGCAGCAGCGCTTGGGCTGGCATGTGGACTGCACGCGCCTCATCGCCGCCTACCGTGCGCTTGTGCTGCCTGTGGCCTTCGTGCTGGCAGTGGCCTGCACCGTGGCCTGCTGCAAGAGCCGCACAGACTGGTGCTCTTACCCGTTCGCATTGCGCACCTTCGTCTTCGTCATGCCGCTCAGCATGGCCTGCCCCATCATGCTTGAGAGCTGGCTCTTTGATCTGCGAGGCGAGAACCCCACGCTCTTCGTGCACTTCTACCGCCGCTACTTCTGGCTGGTGGTGGCTGCCTTCTTCAATGTGAGCAAGATCCCCGAGCGCATCCAACCTGGCCTCTTTGACATCATAGGCCACAGTCACCAGCTCTTCCACATCTTCACTTTCCTCAGCATCTACGACCAGGTGTACTACGTCGAGGAGGGCCTGCGCCAATTCCTCAAGGCGCCGCCTGCTGCTCCCACCTTTTCGGGCACCGTGGGCTACATGCTGCTGCTGGTCGTCTGTTTGGGGCTGGTCATCAAGAAGTTCCTGAACAGCTCCGAATTCAGCAGTAAAAAGTGAGCCTCTGCCTTGCAGGAGGCTGCTGGTTTGCACCTGTTTGTGCTTTCTGTTTTTACTGTTGTTGGTTTGTTTTCCAGTTTTGTTGTTTCCTTCTTTGCTCAAGGAGGGTGCTGCAGAGCCACAGGGGAAAAGTCCAATATGACGGGGGTGGGGTGGGGGGTGGGGATCCAGTGCACTTGGGGCTTTGGATGAGGGAAGTGGGTCAAGCAGGAGGGGGAGGGCCACTGGTTTTTGCCCATGGACAAAATTCAGGTGGTGTCTGTGACATCCAGGGAGTTTTTGAAGGCAGCGAATAAAATCCCAAATAAAACCCAAAACAGTTATATTTTCCAGTCGTCTTCTGTGCCAGCGGTAATAATACGTAGCCCGTGTGAGGTCAGGTATGCATTTAAGAGGGTAAGTAGACAAAATCCCTGGATACTTCCATTTCAGTCTCAGGAGGGCTTGGATTTGTCAAAAGAATGGAGCTTTGTAGGAAACGGGCACAAAGACATAAGCCCAGGGCTCAACATACTAGAAAATGCATGGAATGTGAACAACACAAGTTAATTATTTCAAAATGTTTCTCAGATGTTATTTAAATAGTAATATATACAATAATTTTCATAAGCCTGTTATATGCACTGAATTTTGTGATGTAGTTATGAATTTTGCAGCCCTTCTTCATTGCATACACTTGAACTGGACATCAGGGCAAGCTGCTTGAGAGTTCTCAACTACTTTCTTAAACAGTGTTTTCTGAAGGCCTGTGTGCCATAATTCAAATGTGAATTATTCTACCATAGGAACTCTGGTTAGACTACTGGTGAGGAGCTCAGTGGTCTGTGTAGATCCCAGATGCCCATTTACTGGAATGTATTCCACAAAACCTATCCTATTTTTGGTTTGTTTTGCTTTTAATCTGATTCTTTCCTTCTCTACTTATTTAAATTACCACTAGAATAAATGTGCCTTTGAAGCAATGCCCAAATGACTGGTCCTCAAATATAGGGGAGAGCAGTTGGAGTAAACTTTGCTTACTGTACTGCAAATCAGGGTTTAACATTCCACCCAGGAGGGAAGGAAGAGGAAGTTGGTTTCAAGTTTTTGGTAGCACCAGAAGTAGCTTACCAGGACATGCACAGCATCTGGCTTTTCTACTAGGAGAAGGGGCCAACCCACTAATGTGGCTGTAGTTCCTAGTGCAGTCGATGGGGAAGTTGAGAGGACACTGTTCTAGTCTGATGCCATCTATCGTTGCTAAAATATAATACTCAGGAATAAATGAAGCAGTTATAGTGTGACAGGCAGGAGCATATTGCTTAAATTGTAACTGAAATTTTTGAGTTAAATAGGATTACCCTTGCCTAGTTAAATACTGAAGTCTCATTTGGATACAGAATATGGTAATGAATGCCGGTCATCCTAAATCATGGAGAAATGAGTGAACACGCTCCTGAGATCCTTTCTAAAAACCACATTGGCCAGTGTTATTTAAGACATTTTTTTATAAAAGCTAACCTGTACTTGAGATGGCATCCCTAGATTACTACTAAGGTAGTTTATTTAAATACCTATCACACTTCTGAGAAATCCTTTTGGTTAGGAGCTAAATAAGTCATTGAATGGAAAGTGTTAACCTCATGGTATAATTTAGATCAGGCACATAAAGAAGATGAACATTCACCTCAGCACTGGTAGGCTGATGCCCCTAAATATATTGCTGTTTTTTTTTTGTGCTTTTGATCACTACTATATTTATAAACTGAGGAGGCTGGCACAGTTCCCTGGAGGAACCAGTATGCTGGCATGTTACTTTTCACATAGAAGTTAACTTTATATATGTTATATTTAATTTAGAGCTTCTTAATGGGGATTGTGTTTCATCTTTGCAGGTTTGCTAAGGAGATGTCTGTTAAGGTACAGAGGCTGAAAATTTGTGTCTACTACAGATGTCATTCCTCACCTGTAACTTAATTCAGTATATGCATTCAGGGGCAGGATATTTCCACCTGCAAAGTTATTTTCATGTCATTATTTTTTTATTATTTATTTTATTTTTTTAAAATAAATTTTATTGATTTTTTACAGAGAGGAAGAGAGAGGGAGAAAGAGTTAGAAACATCGATGAGAGAGAAACATCGATCAGCTGCCTCCTGCACACCTCCCACTGGGGATGTGCCCACAACCAAGGTACATGGCCTTGACCGGAATCGAACCCAGGACCCTTGAGTCCACAGGCTGATGCTCTATCCACTGAGCCAAACCGGTTAGGGCTGCATGTCATTATTGTCTCTTCTAGAGCCTCAAAAGAAGCTAAAGACATAACTTGATGAGTATTTTCTAGCTTCTTTGTAAAATGGGACCTCCATTTTCAGAAGGAACTTTAAAGAGACAGCCTTCTAAAAAGGCTTGAGTTTGAGAACAAAAAATAAATCTGGTATTTGTCATTTAAAATTTTTGTTTGTTGTAGATCTGGGTCTGCAAACAGAATTCTCTTCTTGCCCTGTGTTATTGTTCTTAAGAAGAAGCCAGTTAAGGATAAAATTACACCCACATCGTTTTCAAATGATTATGATGCCATTTTCCCTTCAAAAGTTTCCTTCCTCCACTTTCCCTTTCCCATCCTATCTTAGTTCTTATATACCACATATACCATTGACAACAGGAAATTCTAGTTGAAAACAGAATTTTTGGTTTCACTTCACTTCATATTTGCAAATAGATACCATGAACACTGCACAAGTTCAGGGATGTTTGTAAAACTATATATGTTATTTGCTAAATTATATCAGATTTCTGTCAAGGTAAATGATGAAATTTTAGAATCAGCAAATATTTACTAAGTCCCCAAATTTGCATGGGACTATTCAGGTATATTACATATTTCAGGGGTCATATGGCCATCAGAATAAAATAGCTTTAAAAATATTTTTTACACTCTCCATTTTGCCACCTCCTTTAAAATTCAGTTTTACTTTATTGTGTTCAGCTGTTTGAAATGCAGGACAAATGATAAATAAGAGTGCACTTCTTTATCTCGGTAAAATCTATTTTGAAAGCATAGAATTTTTAAGTATATTATATAATGCATTTTACTTTTACATGTTTGTCATAATCTAGATGACATCTCAAGCAGCAGCATCATAGAGTCATGCCTGGGAAATGAGGATGTTTGACTTCAATGCCTATCACCCTGTAGGGTTGGTCTCTGGGGCTGACAGGCTGATTCATTTGACTAAAGGGGGTCCCTTTCTTCCCTGCCTTTGCAGCTGTACCCCCAGGTGAAGAAGATGGCCTTCCCTGAGAGAGGAAGTGAGTTCTTTGGTCATGTCATGACTGGCTTGTAAAAATAAATGTGCTCTTTTCCACTGGCTAGCCACTTTCTATAAATAGCCCAAGAAGAAAGTATGGGGCTTTAAAGCTGGTCAGAGTGGCCTTCATATGTCTCCATTCATAAATCCTGCCTGCAAGTGTTTGCAGTCAAAAACTGTTTAGCCTAAGTCATTATGCTACTTTAGGGCAATCATTTCTAAGAAGGCAAAATTTAGGGATGGGGTGATTTTTATTTATTTTTTTCTGATTTGGTGCTTAATCTGAGGGCTAACAGCAATTAAAAACAGGTATTTTTATCTTCAAATTTCTTCACAACTTTAGTTAACCCATACAAAGCTATAGGAGAAGAGTTACGGTAGGAGTTATCTTCATTTCAAGGTTATACTGTTGGTTCATGGTGACAGAATTGTTTTCAAACTGGCATTAGAATGTGGGAGTGGTTTTGTGCTTGTTATGAGTGTTTGCTGGTTTGTCTGGCCAAGCACAAACATAATTGGAGAATGAATATATATATACACATATGTACATATATATGTATGTATGTATGTATGTATATTAGAGTGAAGTAAGATATGGCTATCCTTGAATTTAGATAATAAAATCTTATACAAAATGTTATCAACTACTTAATTTTTATCCTCTTGGATTATTCACCTGTTGAAGTCTGCCACAGCTGATTTCTCTCTGTCAGTGTCTTTGAGTTGACTTTTATCCATTTGTACATGATCTTTGAGCATACACTTCATGATAGACATTGGTGAGGATCCCTCACATTAATACAGCTGTTAACCTTTTGTCTGTGGGTGGAACAAAACTAGAAAGGCCATGAGGCCAGGGACCAAACCCTGATCTTTGCATAAGCAGATGTCCCAAGCCACTAAGTTTGATCCTTTTCTCCTTTCTATTAGCATAAGAACAATGCTTAGAATCTTATTTTAATTAACATGCTACTTACCCACAATCAAGTTCTTTCTTTTTGATTCTGTCTGCTCCTAGGCCTTTGTGAATTTTAATGGTTAAAAATAACTAGAAAATTTAATGTAAATCCAGGTGAAGGGAGATTTTATATATTTAAATTTATCATCACTACTAGTTAACAAAGACTGATTAATAATCACATTTGGAAGGTTTATAGTAGTCATAACATTATGAAGTAAGGTTCATCTAAAGTGCCTAAATTGTGATGTAATTAAGTGTCTGAATTTCATACATAACATAAGTTTAAAAATATGCAAGCTTAAATGCTTACAGCTCCAAAGATTAATGTTCTTTAGCCTTTTTCCTCCCTTTAGGTCTTTTCGGTATAATCTATGAAACATGTCTTAGAAAAAAATATCTGGAGGAAATTATAAAGAACAGGTATCAGATATAAAAATGATAGGAAGAAGGCATGAGAAAGGGAGAATAAGAAAGATTAGACTTCACCCAAATGGAATAGCAAGTTCAACTATGGACAATTTCACCTGAGTTTTAAATTTTGTCCCTAGAAAAGCATGTGAATTCCCCTGCTATTAGCACTCAAATATGCAGGCAAGAAATTGTTTTTGGCAGCCCAACCACATCCTATAGCTTTGACCTGAGCACTAGTGCCCAGGTATATTTTGATTGGTACACTTGCCCCTGGCTTAATGACCTTATTTTTTTTTCTATAAAATTAGGGCATAAGGGAAAAAAGGGGATAGCACCAGCTAATTGTAAATTACCTTTTGAATCATTTTCTTGAAAGGTTGCCAGTATTCTGTCATATATTGACAAAAAGCGAATGAGCCTGGCTAAGATGGAAAAGGAAGCATTCATTGGCTGAAGCTGAGAATTACTGTATTCCTTTGTGAAAGGCAGCATGCCTTCCTATTGAAGATTTTATTTCTTCAGTGTTATGAATAACTATTTTTAAAATATGAAAATGGGGGTCAGTTCTTCTGAGTCACTTTTCCAAAAAGTTAATATAAAATTTTGTTGTTAAAAAAGGACAAAATGTATTGCATTTCTGGTTTGCAGACTTCTAACTAGTTTGTAGGCTTTTTTGTTTTAGAAAAGGTTAATAAGAATCTGTGAGCAAGTTGCAGAATTAGAATGTGTATTTATAGGTCAGGGGCCAAGAATGCTCATTT